ATAATTTTTTTGGTCTTTTTGAGATAGGGTCTCACTATACAGTTCAGGCTGGTCTTGAACTTGCAAGATCTTCCTGCCTCAACCTCCCAAGTGGTGGGATTACAGGTGTGCGCCACCATGCCCAGCAAAACTCAATGTTGTAAAAATATAAAATCTCTTCAAATTGATTTACAGATCTCACATTTTAAGATTCCATCACATTTTTAGTATAAATTGGTAACTTAATGCTAAAATGAAATGAAATGCAAAGAGCTAAGAAAAGCCAGGAAAAATCTTGAAGCACCAAAGTGGAAGATTTTTATTATTATCACATATCAAGACTTACTTTAAAGTTACAGGAATTAAGACCATGGTGGCAGCACAAGACCTTACAAAGAGACCAACAGAACAGAAAAGAAAGTCCAGAAAGAGTCCCATATATGGATCCTTGATTTATAACAAAATTGGCCTGGTAGAGCAGTAGGAAAGGGAAAAAAGTCTTTCTAATGAGTGGTTTTGGATCAATTGGGCTATCCACCTGAGGAAAAAAAAACAAAATCAAAACAACAGCCTTGCAACTTGGGGTGTGGCTCAGTGGTTTGATCCTCAGCACTGAAAAACAAAAACAAACAAAAACTTGGTCTCTACCTCACATTGTACACAAAAGTCAGTCCTAGGCAGACTGTAGACCTCACTGACAAAGATAAAATAAAGCTTGAAAATAAAATAAGAGCCTATATGTAAGGCCTTGGAACAAGCAAATACTTCTTAAGTAAGATTCAAAACAGGACTAACCATGAAGAAAAATACATTAAAGTTAAGAACTCCCAGCCATGAGTATAAAAAAATCAGAGTGGGAGAAGATATTCCCAACGTATCTTCAAACAAAGGACTTGTATCCTACGTATATAAAGAACTTCTACAAACAATGAAAAAGGCAAGAAATTTTAATGAGCACTTCATGAAAGAAGATATCCAAGTGGACAATAAACATAAGGTCGTTTGTTTAACCTCATTAATTGTCAGGTATATGCAAAATAAAACGATGAGATACCACTACACACACACACACACACACACACACAATCATTAACGGTTAACACAAAAAAGGCCAACGATGTCGAGGGTCTATGAGGGTGTGACCATCTGTGGCTCCCAAGCACTGATTCACAGTGCCTACTAAAGCTGAAATCCCAGAATTAAAAACCCCTTCGCAGATAACTTCTTAAGCTTTTGGCTAGCATCAAGTGTAGCATCTATCCTTAGTTTAGTGATATTCATAGGCACCAGGGGTTAAAGATCAAGTCTGTTTCCTTGAAGAAAAAAGGGGGGGAAATCCTTGTTTATACCAGATTTATGTTCACAACTGAGCATAACATAGATCCAGGCTCCTGAGCACAGCCAGGCATCTTCTGAACAATAGGGGCGACCAGCGCCTGCCCCTGGCTCAACACAATCTGCCACCCCGGGCAGGGTCATGCAGAGGTCAGCTGCTCTCGGGGTCACAAAGCGGTCAGCCCGTTCCCTGCAGGAGCGCAACGTGCAGAGGTAGTGTGGACAGGTCAAATGAGGGCAGGGGGCAAATCCCGTAATCCTCTACCCCTCCCGCGCCTGTCCCTTCTTGTCAGCGTCTTCCCACACAGGCGGTGCATCGCCCCAGCCAGGGCTCTGCTGCCTCCAGGGACAGCGTCAGGCAGCTCCCACACAGCCAGCTACTTAGCTGTCCCACCGACCACTCTCACAGGGCACCTGAGGTTCGAGCTGTCACAGGGCCTCAGGAAAGGTGGCAAGGTTTGGCATCCTGGATTTACTGCTCAGGTGTCCAGCTGTCATTTGACTTTTCATCTACTGAGACTCAGCTGTGAGCTGCTCGTGACCTGTATCCTAAAAGGTCTCTCCCTGGTCAGCCCTGAACCTGCTCCTAAGGCAACTAGAGGATTCTGGAGATCTTTCCTCCTCCCCTTCCTCCTCTCTTTCTTTTGCTGTACTGGGGACAGAATCCAAAGCCTTTGCACTGAGCTACATCCTTCTCCCTTTTTTGAAACAGGGTCGTGTTAAGTTGTTAAATTGCCCAGCCTGGGCTTGAATTTGTGATCCTCCTGCCTCAGCCTCCTACAGTGCTGGCATTACAGGCAGGTTGCCACTATGCCAGTCTCAAGGAATACATCTCTTAAGAGAAGCAAGGGCAGCTGGGTGTGGTGGCCCATGCCTGTAATCCCAGCACTCGGGAGGCTGAGGCAGGAGGATTGTTGTGAGTTCAAGACTAGCCTGGGCTATAAAGTGAGCTCAAGGCCAGCCTGAACTGCATAGCGAGACCCTGTCTCACAAAGACCAAAAAAAAAAAAAAAAGGAAGCAAGGGCTATAGTCTAAGATAAGATGTAGTTAGAACATATTTTAAAATGAGGGCATCTCACTCAGTGCAAAATGAGAGGTGTAGATCATTAGGTAATGCTATTAGGGCTCATGGCCAGCCCGCCCTAAAGAGTATCTCTGGAGACCAGTCCAGTGCTTACGGCGCTTGGGGACGCTTCAGGAAACGGATGGGACTGACCTAGACTCTGGAGGAGCAGACTGTGAGCAGGAAGGGTCAGGTGGAAGGCGAGACTCCAGGGAAGGAACAGCTGAGCCAGGCAGCAGAGGCCGCTTGACTCGCGGACGGCTGCACTAGGAAGCTGTCCGCACTAGGACTGAAACGGTCGCCGGGCCTGCTGGTGCGCTCCTGTCATCCCAGCACTCCAGCAGGCCGAGGCAAAAGGATCACAAGTTCAAGCCCAGCCCTGAGCAATTTAGCCGCTTAGCAAGACCCTGCCTCCAAATAAACAATAAAATTTTTAAAAGAGCTGAGTATGTAACCCAGTGTGAAGCCTCTGGATTCAACCCTTAGTACTGAAAGAAAAAAAAAGGCAGAGTTCGGCCCTGGGGAAGACCTGAACCGGGGCCAGTCCACACTGGTCAGTGGGCAGGGAGAAAAAGGCCCAGAGAGCAGGGGGGGTGGGGCGAGGGCACCAGCAGGGCCAGGCTGTGTCTTCAGCCCCAGTCCAGGGCCTGTGCTCCCCGCACTGCCTGAGGTGCAGTGGATCGAGGTTGTGGCAACGGCCTAGCGGGGCCAGGAGATGATGAGAGCTTTGTTTTGAAAGCTCCTCACCGTACACTTTAGGAGACTTCATCCCTGCCCACAGTTCCAGGGAGCTGGCAATGATTTACAGATCCCCGCTGGTCTCTTCTGAGACGAAACTCAAACACAACAGCCTGCAAGGCACCTCCCTCCCCAAAACTGCTCCTCCACCCCAGAGCTCCTGGTCTCAAGGACAGCGCTGACCCTGGCCGGGAAAATTCATCCCTTTCCCACCACCCACCTCAAGTTCTCTGCCGGGTGCTAGCTCTCAAGCCTGCAGGCCCAGCCATTCACACAGCCTCCCCTGCCGGCACAGGGGTCCTCAGCTGCTATCTCCCCTGGACTGGCTTCTTCTATCCTCTCCTGCCTCCCAACATGTAGCCAGCCCACTCCGCCCTCCTTACTCCAGCCGTGCCAGCCTTTGCCATGGTCTCCCGACCCACCCCAGGTATCCCCTGGGTTCTTATCTTCCCCACAGCTACTTACAAACTGTTAATTTTTCAGGGTTTAGCTAAAACATTACTTCCTCAAAAAAGCTTTCCCTGACCTACTGGTAAAGTCCTGTAGTGGGCTAATTAGGTCCACAACTATAGTAGCTTTCCAGGAAAAAAAAAATTATTTCTTTTCACTGTGACCCACAGCATATTTTGAGAGCTAGCATACACCTACACAGACAAGGGCTGGGGATTTAGCTCAGTGGCACAGCACCTGCCCGGCAAGCGCAAGGTCGAGAGTTCAATTCCTGGTACCAGAAAAAAAAAAAAAAAAGCACCTACATAGACAGAATCATCATTCCCTCTTCCCAAGTACCAGGACTTGAACCTAGGGCCTCAAGCATATTTTGTAAGCTCTGACCACTGAGCTACTCCAACTCCTTTATTTTTTTTTGAGATAGGGTCTTGGAGAGTTGCCCAAACTGGCCTTGAATTTTCAATCACCCTGCTTTTCAACCTTCCAAATAGCTGGGGTTATAAGCATATACCACTATATCCAACTTGCAATAATTCTTACCTTATAACATGTCATTAATTTCTATTATTTCACCTCATGCTTAAAAAAAAAAGTTCCTACTTCATAATTGCATAGAACCACGCCTTCTTTTTAAAGTACTCAGTTTTGCTGGGGCTATAGCTCAGTGGCATAAGCGCCTGCCTGAGTTTGATTCCCAGTACAGGACCTCGCAAGCGCAAGGTCCTGAGTTCGATTCCCAGTACAAAAAAAAAAAAAAAAAAAAAAAAAGATAAAGTTCTCAGCTTTTTGTTACTCAAATTCACAATCCTTTTGCCTCAGCCTCCTGACTGCTGGAATTACAAGTGTGCACCACAAGCCCAGCTACTCTGCACATTTTTAAGTGATTGCTGGATTAACACCTCTTGTCCTCATAACCTGTCCTCTGTTTAGGCAATATTTTGTGTTTTGCCTGGCTTCAATAGGTACTTTATAAAAAAACCACTTTGGATAATGAAAAATACAAATCAGTAGTAAGTACTTTACCTTATAGTACTATCATAGCTATAACTAATGATTCTAATTATCTGTAGAATCATTAAACTTCTCTACTCTATAGTCAAACTCCAGGAAGGCAGAAATCCTGTCTGCTTTCCCTCAGAGCCTAATGCAGTTCCTAGAAAATGAAAAATCATCTCCCAAAGAATGCAGTTCAAATCCTGATCTCTAGCAGCCACAAATAAAGCTGAGAAAAGCCTGCCACATTCCTGCATTGTCCTGCATTCTAAAACCATTTGCCTCAAAGACCTTGATCTTTGCTTCAGAGAATACTACGGGAAACAGTTTATTCCAAAAAGCAAAGGAATCTGCACTGGAAATAAGCTCTTCATAGGTGGCCAGATGTGGCAAGTCAGGAACTACCGTGTGGATACACATGAAGGTGAACAGGTCAGTATGAAGGAATGATCTGTCGGCTCTAAACTTTAAAGAAATTATTTGGAAATAGCTCATTCAATCTCATATTCCTATCTTTTGCCATATTATACTTATTTAAATGGAACAAGATGTACTTTGTACTTACCTTGCAATTCCCGGGAGATCTTCTCTGTGGACAAAACATTCAGAAGTGAGCAGCTAGACAGATGGTGTAATCCCAGCTAAGCCTCTTGTTCCAGAAGTCACATGCACAGGGAAACATGGATGGTTTAGAGTGATTAATTTGGGGGGCTTGTGGCAGCACTGTCTTCGACATCATACACTCATCCGGTTGGGAGAAAAAGTACTTAGTATTTAACATAGAACTAATCTTATAGATTTATGGTCTTCCATTTCTATTTAATTTCTTTAAAAACTGATTGCTCTTGTTAGAGTTTTTCACAATTCCATACCTCCTGAGGAAGTGAGTATTCTTGCATGTAGGACACGATGAGTGAAGAAATAATTGGTTACGTTGCTGTAAAGTTAGCCTTTGAATTTTACTTCTTTCCATTCATGTTCATTTTTTTATTTTTTTATTTTTTATTTTTTATTTATT